GCTTCTCACAAAGGGTTGGGTTGTGTATTGATGCAAAATGGAAGGGTCATTACTTATGCTTCAAGGCAACTGAAGAACCATGAAAGAAACTATCCAACCCATGACTTGGAGTTAGCTGCAGTGGGTTTTGCCCTGAAAATATGGAAACATTACTTGTATGGGGTGAAGTGTGAAGTATTTACTGATCATCAAAGTTTAAAATACATCTTCACACAGAAAGAGTTGAATTTGAGGCAGAGGAGATGGTTGGAGCTTATCAAGGACTATGATTTGGACATCCAATATCATCCAGGTAAGGCAAATATAGTAGTAGATGCCTTAAGCAGGAAGACTTCTAGTGCCAGTTGGATGATTACACAACAACATGAGTTGGTAAGAGATTTGGAGAAGTTAGATATTTTTATAGTCTAGCCCAATGATGCAGAGTTTGTGGCTTTGAATCTGATGATCATTCAATCAACATTTGAAAAAGATGAAATCTGATGATCATTCATTCAACAGTTTGTGGCTTTGAATCTGAAGGATAGGATAAGGGAAGCTTTGCCATAAGATGCAGAATTTGAGAAAGTCCTAAATTTGGTGAAGGTTGGTCACGTGGAGGAGTTTGAGCTTAATGAGGATGAGTTATTACGGTATAGAGGCAGAATTTGCATCCCAGATGATGGAGATTTGAGGAAGGACATTCTTCAAGAAGCTCACTATTCAAGTTATACCATTCACCCAGGTAGTAACAAGATGTACCAAGATTTAAAGGAATACTTTTGGTGGCCAGGGATGAAGAGAAGTGTAGCAGAAATGGTGGCTAAGTGTACAGTTTGCCAGATGGTTAAGGTAGAACATCAAAAGCCAGGAGATTTATTGCAACCTTTACCTATACCGGAATGGAAGTGGGAAGATATAGCCATGGATTTTGTGGTTGGATTGCCTAGATCTAGAACTGGTCATGATGCTATATGGGTGATAATTGATAGGTTGACTAAGTCGACACACTTTTTACCTATTAAGCAATCTGATGCCGTTGAGAAGTTGGCAAGTGTTTATGTTAATGATATTGTTAGACTTCATGGTGTACCAAGATCAATAGTATCAGATAGAGATGGGAGATTTACCTCTAGATTGTGGAGGAAGGTTCAAGAGGCAATGGGCACTAGACTTACTATCAGTACAACCTTTCATCCTAAAACAAATGGTCAATCGGAGAGGACTATTCAGACTTTAGAGAATTTACTCAGATTATGTGTACTTGATTTTGGTGGCAAATGGGAGACACACATTCCACTGATTGAATTTTCTTATAACAATAGCTTCCAATCAAGTATAGGCATGTCACCCTATGAAGCTTTGTATGGAAGGAGGTGTCGAACTCCTTTATGTTGGGCTGAGATTATAAAAAGAAAGATCATTGGAGCTGATTTAGTAGATGATGCTACTGAAAAGATAAGGCTGATTCTTGACAGATTGAAGGCTGTGCAAGATAGACAGAAGAAGTACTATGATGTCAAACATATATCTGTTGAGTTTGATGTTGAAGAGTTTATATTCCTCAAGGTTAGTCCTATGAAAGGTGTGAAGAGATTTGGCAAAGTTGGAAAACTGAGTCGAAGGTATGTTGGCCCTTTTGAGATATCATAGAGAGTTGGTAGTGTGGCTTACAGATTGATTTTGCCATCTCACTTGAGTGGAGTGCATAATGTATTCCACATCTTTTCTTTGAGGAAATACATTGCAGATGAAGCTCAGAAGATCAGTACTTAAGCAATAGATATCCACCCAGATTTGACATTTATAGAAGAACCTGAGAAGATCATAGACTATGATGTTAAGCAGCTTCGAAGTAGAGAGATTCCTTATGCTAAAGTTATGTGGAAGCATGGAACTGAGAAAGATGCTACTTGGGAGAAGGAATCAGAGATGAAGGAGAGCTACCCTCACCATTTTAACTAAGGTATAATCTCTTAAGCTTGTCATAAATTTTGAGGATGAAATTTTTATAAGAGAGGGAGAATTGTAAAACCTGAAAATGTTGTTTTAGACCTCGCACTCTTTTCAAAGCGCCGTGACAAGTTTTAAGTGAAAATTTTGAGGTTATCGGATTTTGACGGGAATAATTTTATAAAATAGAGCGCAAAATTTTGATCAATTTGGTATATAGAACTTATATTCAATTTCACTTAAATTAAGAGATATAATTTTTAGAAGTTCAAAAATACCCAAACTACCCCTAATCATATTTAATGATGGGATTGTTTAAGTGAGGGTAATGTGGTCTTTTGCATCTTCCCTTTTTCCCTAAAAAGAGCAAACCGCCCCTCCCCCTCTCATTTTCTTTCGGCCAAACCGAGAGGGAGCGGACGGACCGAGCGGAGGAGGCGACGGACAAGGGAGACGGGCGGCTCCGGTGACCTTTTCCGACGAGGAATTTTGGGGAAATTGAAGAGGAAGTCAAGGGAAGGAAAAGGTATGCAATAGAACTAGGGTTTTCCCTCTCTTTCTCAAGATTTTTGGATGAGAAGATTTCTAGGGTTTTTAGAAAACTTAGTTTTTCTTTGAGAAAAGTTTAGGGATGGGTTAGGGGAAAGTTTTTAAACCCGAATGTGAAGTGCTTTTGTGAAAAATGCGAATTTTGGGAATTAGAGTTTTACTTAAAAATTGATCTTCTTTGGAAATGCCTTCACAAAAGATGTTTCTAATGACATGGGAAAATTTTTATAGGAAGACATTGTAAGGTTTATGCAAGATTTTGAGTTTTTTTCCCAATCATGATATCTTTGATCCCTATGGTTTTTATTTGTTTTAGGGAGAATTTTAGAGGCTAATTTATGGATTTTATTTGAAATATAAGATTTCCCAATTTTTGATTTCATTAATTCCGAAAATTGATTTTATTTTAATTATATTTTGAGGGTAGGGAAAGGTGCTGCATGCTTAAAACCTAATGAATTGGACTAAACCATAATTGAGAGAGAATGTGTTTGAGAGATATCATGATTTGGTGTGGAGGGCCTGAATTGGAACATAAACAAGACATTAGAAGAACCCTTTTATTACTTTAGAATTAGGGTTTAAGATATTGTATAGGGATTAGTCACTTATGCTTTTCTTTGTATGTCTCTTTTAGATATAAATCGTGTGGAGGGAAATAGTTTGATCGGACAAAGAAAGAGGTGCACGGATTGAGGTAGGTGGAATGGATGTTCTTATAAATTTTAGACAAATTTTCTTTCATTGCAAATTACATTGAAATGACAAATTCCTTTATGCTCATTATGAAACTCTTATGACTCATGTTCCCTTGTAAGTTTATGAACACTTGAAGCAAATGCAAAGGTTTTCTTTATGCAAATGTACAATTCATGAATGGATCCCATGCTCATTTCTCTACTCTTACTATACATGACTTTCTTCTTTACATGCAAAAGTGCACATAAACATAACAAGCATGCATATCTCTAAGGAAACATACACTTGGTTAGTTTATGAATGGTTTACATAAAGCATCTCTTATGGTTATATAAGTAATAAGTGTATGTGCATGTTGACGCGGGAGTATCACATAGTAAAGGAGGCTCTTATGAGCTATGGTAAAGGATGGTTTCTATGAACAAATGGTAAAGGAAATGGCCAAATTTTATGTACCTGATTAGTACAAGTGATACTCTTGAGACGTGTGTTATATTTACATGTTAAACTATTACGAATATTTCATATTCATATTATGCATTTGAGACAATCATGTGAGGTAACATGTTAAAGGAAAAATGGAAATGTTATGAAGGAAAAAGCACTTGAAAATTGAGGTAAAGGTATGCATTTCCTCTAAGCAAAAATTTCTTTATGTTGATATTTCTTTTGTTAAAATATCCAAGCATGATATAGTTTTCTTCTTTTATTCTAAGTTTATTTGGATTTCATTCATACCTATTGAGTTTATAACTCACCCTCGTTGTGGGAACACTTTTCAAGAGGATATAGGAAAGGATAGATGGCAGATCAACCACCGCGCACTTACCGTCGTAGGGAGACAATGGACGACAGATTCTTTTGAGTTTTAATATTTTGTATAGAAGGTTTAGAAATGATAAGTAAGAAAAATGATTTTTAGATTCCCTTTTGTATTTTGTAAACTCAATGTGGAATCCTTATGTTGGTGCTTTGATATGAGGAAATGAATTTTTTTTTTATTGGAAGATTCTTTAGTGGCTCTTTCAGTTTGTTTGGTACTTATTTGGAGATATGTTAATTGTTTATTGTGAAGTTTTTTTTATCTTCATCCTGTCCGACCTCTATTCCCGCCTCGCACTTGCGAGCTAACCGGGCCGGGTAGTGACACATACAAAGCAAAGCCACATGTAGTTTCATACTTTCATATATGCACTATACAACATAATTTTTTTTAATGATTTTTTAATTAATTTTTATAAAAACGGACCACAAGTAGTTTCGTACTTGCAACACACATATTGCTCCTCTATAAAGAAGCGTACTTAGCTCATTTTGCAAATCACATCACGCCAAAAAGGCATGGGCCTAAACTTTGTGCCTCTTTTAGACACAATTTTTTTTTATAACTTATCAATCAATATTTTCTTTCATATTAAAATATCATTGAAAATTGATAATAATTTTAGTCCCAAAATTTATTAAAAAGATCAAAACTTATGAATTTATTTGAATCATGTGACAGTGTCGAAATTGAATGGATGGAATATCAAATATGTATCTTTTTATCTCCATTTAATTGATTCTTTAATTTAATAAAGAAAGTCAATGATATTCTAATTATCTCACTACGAGAAAAGGAATAAAATAAAACATCTGATTGATAATAAAAATGTCTTATTATAACCTATCCAAAAAAGAGTTCAATTTGTTTTTTAATTCGAAACTAAAAAAATAAAAAAAAAGTGTTACTAAGCTAATAATTTATTAGCTATAAATTATTTATTTTAAGCCGTTAGTTGGCAATGCAACATTCCTCTATAAAAATGAAAAGAAGGATTCGATTGTTCGCGCTGCGCGAACCAACAGGTTTTGATAATTTTGAACTAAGAGCGCACTCCAGCCACAGCCAGTCATAGAGACGTCCGCCATCTTTCACTCCGCCGCAGCCATCCGAGGATGCCGCACATTCCTCTCCGTCCAAACTTCTTCCTTCGCCGCCGCTATCTGCCTTTTCCATTTCTCCTACAACCCAAATTCATCCATGAGCATTCATTTCCATCCTCGGAACTCGACCTCTCTAACCCCACTTTCATGATCTATGGTTCCAACACCGGCGTTGGAAAAACCCTAGTTTCCACCGGCATCGCCACCTCCATCCTCTCAGGTTCAGAGCCATCTCACTGCCTGTATATCAAGCCCGTGCAGACGGGCTTCCCGGTCGACTCCGACTCCCGCTTTGTCTATCGCAAGGTTTCGGAGATCTTGCGTACCGGGAAGCCTCGTGGGATCTTTGCCTCGAACCGAGTCGTCAAAGCTTCTAAGGAGGTGCTTAATGCTGCAACCGAGCTATCCATGGACAATATTGAGGAAGGCTTAGGGTTCAGGGGTTCGTGCTGTTACGAGGAGACAGTAGTGGGGAAAGGGATGGAAGAAGGGAAGGGTTTCAAGTTGATTTGCTTGACGTTATATGGATGGAAGGAGGCGGTTTCTCCTCACTTAGCGGTGGAGAGGGAAGGGATGGCGGTGGACGATTCTTTGTTGAGGGAAGAGTTAGGAAGTTGGTTAAGGGTTTCAGTAGGCGGAGAGAAAGATGGGGGAGATGAAAAGGGTGCTGTTTGGAGGTTGGTGGAAACTGCTGGGGGTGTTGCTAGTCCAGGGCCTTCAGGTTCTCTGCAGTGTGATTTATATAGGCAAGTCTGCTGTTCCTTTCTTAAACAAATTTCAAATAGGCCTTCGTCCTTTGTAGAATCATGATATTTTAATATATATTGCCAGCTATATGACATTTTACGTGCTTTCCAAACTTTTTGGATCTAGTTAATCCTTTCTTTTAGTAATTTATTGTTCCATGTTGTTTGCTACTTTCATTGCCTAGTTTTAACTATGTCTTTTACCATTTGTGCTTGTTTTTAAAATTTTGTTTTGAGTCATACTATGGTGCAGGCCTTTTAGGTTACCTGTTATTCTTGTTGGAGATGGCCGTTTAGGCGGTATATCTGCAACCATATCAGCATATGAGAGCTTGGAGGTTAGAGGATATGACACTGTGGCTATTGTTTTAGAAGGTCTTGGCCTGCAGAATGAAATTTCACTGCTTTCTTACTTGAGAAACAGGTTAAGAACTAGAACTTTTGTAGTTGATGATAAAGCTCTTCATTAAACTTCATCACCTTCTTTATGTTGTTTCGTTGTTCTGCAAAATAATAGAATTTTGATAAATAATTTTCTTTTAGAACCACTCATGCATGCTAATAATCATTTAAACTCTTTCTCACTTCATTCTTGGGTTTTGTTTTTTTTATCTCAAATCAGATGACGTTTGCAGAACCTTTAAGGGAACAAGTGTAGATACATGGCATTCAGCCACACTTTAAAAAAATAATTTTGAATTTTTTAAATAGAAAATTGTAATTGCCAGATTCAACCAACCTTGATTAAATTATTTTGAAACTTAGCATTCCACGAATTTACAAGAAATAGGCATCTAAAGACACCCATGTTGGGTGTCATTTTTTTTCTCTTAAGCAAAATTTCAAGGAAATGCTAAGATCTTTGTTACTTTTCACTATCATTCATTGTAATTCTCCCTGCAGTTCAACAATGATAAATATTGATGTGTAGGTGATGAGGGTTGGTGGTGAGGTTGTGATCTCTGATTTGATCAATTGATGGATCAGGAACTCAAAAATAATTTCAAAGAGTAAAAGTTAATTTGGAGGAGTTAATTTAAGGTGGAGATTGGAGATGAAGTTTACGAAGTTTGGATGGTAGGCCAACATTTCATGCAATCTTTCTAGAACTACCTATCTTTTATCCAATAGGTATTCCTCTCCAAAATTCTAAATTTAGTATATTTGTACTTGATTTGAAGGTGAGGATGTCTTATTTAATTCTTAAGAGTTTGGTAATGATTGGGAAGGATTTGGTAGGTCTATTGTTCTCTGGAAGTGATGTTGTTCAGTTCTATCTATAACAAACCAAGGCTCGGAATTTGGGTGTGGTCTTTTATAGATCATGTGGAATTCAGAAGTTCCACACGGAATATAGTTCAAACACTCTTTAGATGACATCTGGAATGTTTCAAGTTTTTTTTTGGAGGAGTTTTACATGTTTTTGTGAATATTTTGTCTATTGAAAATTGATTATAGAGCAAGCATAAAAAAAAGAAAAAAGATTAGGGCTAATTTTTTCTCCAGAAATTTGACTAGAACAACTCTGAATAATTTAGGACTATTGAAATATTGGATATTGACTAGAGATATAGAGATTTTGGTGGGTTTTATGTGGTTTAGGTTGGTCAAATGCTTGTAATAGTAAAACTATTTTAACAAAAACAGAAGTTATGACCAGCCCTAACAATGGGAATTTGACTTTAATTTTGAGGGATGAAAATAAAATTTTGTTTTTTCTAAGACATGAGGCACAAACACAAGAGTGTCAGCCTTCCAAGGACCTGGTTATGAGAGTAGATGTATTTGATTTGGTCTATGTTAAAAAAGACAGACAACAACAACAACAACAACAAAAATATCAACATCAAGCCTTTATCCCACTACGTGGGGTCGGCTACATGATATGTTAAGAAAGATAGAGATAGACATAAAAAGACTTGGTTAGAAAATATTATGAATGACTTTTTTATTAAATTTAAATGAGAATTTAACTATAAACAGGACGCAATGGAGAAAAAACATTCATGTAGCCGACCCCATGTAGTGGGATAAAGGCTTGTTGTTGTGGTTGTTACTAAGATGAGGCACAAACACAAGAGCACACTACAAAATATTGCAATAAAAAAGATACAGGAAAATTAAACTCCACTCACTCAAGTAGAGGATTTAAGAGGATTACCCAATCCTCTTGGGTTGGCCGACTACCAAGCCACCAAAACTCGGATTTTTTTTTTGTTTTCAAAATGTGTTACACAACCAATAATTTACTTTATTTAAGCATAGGGAGTTTTTATAAAACTAACACAAGTCGTAGAGAAATACCTCTCGGCATTTAAATTTAAACAAGGATGGAATAGGAGTAGAGGGAGGGGTTCCTTTGACTTGGTCCACATATAAACACCTATAACTACCCAAATCTTCACATGCATAATAACATAGCCATTGCCTAGGCGTTGACTATGACTATAACTTCTTTATTGATATAAGATCTTTCATATTAAAAATTAGGCTGATAAACATATCTTTAGGCAAATTCATAATATACGCATTAGTGCCAATTTTCTTAATAATATCAAAAGGCCCACTTGCCATAGCTCGTAACTTTCTAAATGATCTGGAAGAATAATTCTCAAGGTGAATTTGAATTAACAAATAACCCCTAATATTGAACACTATCTTTATTTATAGATTCTACATATTTTACATTTATAATTTCAAATTGATTCTTTACATTATCATAAAGGCTCTGAAAATCTTGTGCAAATATTAAACAAGAATATGAAAATACATTTGTGTGGATGTCAATATGTTTTTACCAAAGATTGAACCATCTCAATCCATGGTTCAAGCTTACTTTCTTTTGCCCAAATTAAGGAGTTCATCTTGTCCATTGAAGGTGTGTCCTCTATACCGTGAATTTGAACTCTAACCTGTCAAATTCAAGGTTGATTCCAACAAGTATGTTATATACTTTGTCATTTTTTTGATGAAGTTCTTCAAGCTGATATCATTTTTTGAACACTTCATTTTAAATAACCTAGAGTGATCTAACTATTGACACAAGCTCATTTGTATGTCGGCATATTCTATCACTATTTTTTCTCCTTTTTTATCTCCATTTTTCCTCACTAATTTCATACACTTGAACTGCATCATGAACTTTTGAGTAGGAGCATGGGTAGAGTCCTAAATCTCTTTAGAAATAGTTAGGAACATAGAAGTATCATTGATTGATGGATCCATTGAGTCCCATGGCTGCATGACCAAGGAGTCACTTTCACCCTATTCTTTAGACATTGATTCTTTTCTCTTTGGTCCTTTCTCTATAAGGTGACTAAGTCTCGCTTGTCTCTTCAAATATGTTTTGGCAAATTGTAAAAACTTGTGATAGTTTGTTTCATTTACTCTATATATTGGTTGGACATTTTGTCGATCTCTAGTCTTGGTTTGAGTTATACATGTCAATGGTGAAGAGTGGCATGTCAAAATAGCGCGTGCTATTTACGCCATGCATGGGCAATGACGCATGGCTCAAGGCGCAAATGGTGCGGGCTATTTGTTAATATGTTATAAAATTCAAATTATAAATTATAATTAAATATGCGCCATGTTTAAAATGGTGTGCTATGCGGCATAGCTCAACGGGAAACTTTGCGCTGTGGTGTGCCATTCGCCATTGACAAATATGGTTTGAGTTGACCTATTCAGATTGAACATTGGTCTTTGATGTCGTGACTTTAGATGTTACCATGGATATTGGAATGTGGTAGAAATTTGATTCGGAGAAGGCACAAGGGCTGTGGTAGAAATTATGAAGTAGATATTGACCTCCAGGGCACGTGTTCTTTGGGAGGACTACAATGGCTGGGTTGCGGCTATGATTGCTCGTTTGTTGGAGAGATCAATGCTGGGTTTGGTTGTTGGAATTGAAGAAGAGAGGTGTATTAAATAATGATTTCTCTATATTCTGCATTTTCTTAATTCAAATTTAAGGATCCATACGATCTCAAAATGTTTCAGGATATCCTTATGCAATTTATGCTTGCAACAATGAAGGCTATGGTTTTTACCCAAGAATAAATGCCTTAGGTTTCTAATATCTTGTTGAGAAAAAAGGGGGATGGAATAGATTCTTTCTCATTGATTTAAAGTAGTTAATACATTGTATTATATAACTAGACTAGGAGGAAACAGGGAAACCAATCTACACCAAATCAAGATAACTATCTACCACTACACGCCCTTTATATACGGACTGAATAACTGAAATAAACTAAATGAATATAATAACTTTCATACCTTGAATATATACAATCATATTTAAATCCAGAGCTTCATGGTATATCCTTTTCATGCTATGATGCCCTGGATTTCATTTTATGCTATCCTTTCCTTATACAATGCCCAACCTTAGATTTCTATAGCGCCCAATCCTTTCCTTCTAAACATGTGGTCTTGGATTTCTTTCTAGAACCTTTGTAGGCTCCAATAGTTTGCATTGCTAGTCATGTGAGTGAGAGGTCCTGGTCCTGCCTTAATTCTCTTCTCTGCTATTAACAAGGATAATTTAACGATTCATGAACATTTATTAAAAGGAAGCGTTTCAAATATTTTATTTATAAGATATGTATATAAATACAAAGCAACTATCAAACCACACAACATTCATATAAATAATATCCAAATTCATTTGATTCAATATCTCAGGTCCACACTTATTTTTCTACTACTATATAACAAAACATGAATATAGAATTGACCTAGTTTTACTTGGTCCCACTCTTATCCTTGCCCTTTCGGATAAAAATAGGCAGAATAAAATTCTAGTGAGCTATGAGGCTCATAAAGGTATGTAATTCTAATATAGAATTTAACTACCCAACACAATGAATAAGATGTGACTAGAAATAATCATAAACTAAGCATCCTTTACATTATTGATATTAAAACTTATAAATTGTTTAAAACATTACTGTACTCAATTGAATGGTAATAACATAATGCCTATCATAATATTATAAGTAGAACAACATCATGTCAGTTAATGATCTAAATGACTAATCCTAAATTTAACCATATTAATGCTTCATTTAAATAATTTCCTTCTTTTCTATTCTCATTTCACCTTTAACTTGAGAATTTATCATATTTAAATGTCTAGATTCAGGCCATCATAATATAAACTTAGCCCATTAGGCTTCATCATAATATTCAACAGTCTAAGTAAAACTCAATATTATCACTCTTGAACTATATGGAGGTTCATTTTGCCTCTCTTGTGGTCACTTTTGATTCAATAGTGTATGTATCATAAACATATCATTTCCACTCATCACCTAACTTAACATATATCATGCTTAGTAGATTCTAATCAATTTTTATAACTTATAATTAAACATGTTATTCATTTATTTAAATAAACAATTAATTTTAGTGCATATATAACAAAGGATACTACAAATAAATGCTTTTCTCTTTTAAAATTTTATCAATTAGTGAAACATTTATATAATCATAAGATATATAAATTTGAGCTTAATTTATTAAAATCTATATGTGATCATTTACACTTGAATATTAAGATGTGGACATATATGGAGCGATATGAAGAATTTATATTGCATTACATGCTAAACTTTAGTTCAAGTGCAATTGTACATGCAAAAGGACTAAAGAACATGCTTCTTGAATCAAAATTCAAAAGTTTGCATGTCTTACCATTGTGACGAGTTGCTTCCTCAATTATGGCACCTCACAACCTTTTAAATGAGTATACCACCTTAACAACCCAAAGTTCTCAATTCCTTACATTCCTACAATTTATACTCTAACAATGTACATATAACTTAATTTATTCCCAAAATAATTTTATCTCAAAAATTTATCTCCTCGTATACCGCTTGAATCTTATATAATAATAAATAGTAATTAAATTAGGAATTTTACACAAAATGAATATTCACAATAAATGAAATTTCTTACCTCTTATTTTTTCCTTAGTTCCCTCATCTTCCTCTTCTTTTTTTTCTTCTTTCCTCTCCTTTCTCCACTACTCAACTTCCCTCTACGGCCCCTTGGGCAAGCTCCACTCCCAGATGGGACTCAGGCACGGGGATGATCGAAATTGAGAGCTCTAGCAGCTATGAGAGTTAGGCTTAGGCAGATAAGGGATTAAATCACTTAATTAATGACATTTTTACCTAATTACCATTAGTCAAAGCCAGAGCATGCTTGCCTAAGTGGAAATTTCAAATATTTTTCTTGCCCTGCTAAGGTGAATGAAATAAATGAAGGGTAAAGTTAAATATAAACTTTAGAAAAATTATTCAAATCGAAATTAATTCCATAACTTTCATCTCCTTGCAAATTAACATATGTATCTGTATATTAAATTGATCCATTTGACCCGTAGAACACATAGTGGGATAAAGGCTTATTGTTGTTGTTGTTGACCCTTAGAACACAATGGAGCACTTTTTAATGTTTTTTTTGTGAAAGTTGATATTTTGGAGTATAATCTAATTAAGGAGTTTTTTATTTTTACAATATGAAAATTGGGTATTACTGCTTGTTTACACTAATATTCTATGATTGTATTGTTGGCGTGAAGATTTTCTTTGAACTTGGCATGTTATATGCGCAAATGTTCACATTTCAGCATTTTGTTCTAGCCAAAGTATTACCATTGTGATGCAAGCAAAAAAATTAGGAAAACCCCTAATTTTTTGCAAGCAAAAGAAATAACTTCCTAGATAAAAGAAAATACATAAATTACTCAAAACTAGGCAAAATACAACACAAAACGACTTTTTATAATAAAATGACTTACAAACGATGCATACAAACTTTGACATAAAACCCTAAACTTGCATTCCTTGGGATGAAAGATACTGATGGCGTCGATCTTGCGGAGAGAAGAATATATTAGAAGCCAAGAAGAAATGGATACAAGCTCGCAAGCTTTCTCAAAGAGGAAAGGAAGGAGGGGAGTTGGACAAAGCTCGCAAGCTTTTCCAAACAACAAACCCGTAGGTTTTGGCTTCCAAAAATCACATCATAACATTCTTTTAAACCACAAACTCTCTATATATAAGCACAAAAGGGGAGCCAAACAACCACCTAAAACTTCATTTAAAACTAATTAACTAAGGGGAAGAGGAAGGGCAGAAGGTTGTCCAAATTCTGTCCAAAAAAAGCCCCAAAATGCTTGCATTTATTATAAAACAGCCAGCATCATTTCTGCACAGAAAACAGGGAAAAAGTCCACGGAAATCCCCACCAACAGCCACGGGAAACTAGCTAGCAAGGGACCCGAAAAGCCAGCACAGGAGACAAGGCAATAGGTGTCACGACCCGGCCCGGTGAGCTTGCGTAGGCGAAACGGGAATGAATGGTCGGACGGTAGGTCAAATTTCTACTTCCTAAAACTATCAATTTTTTAAATCAATCTCCAAAATATTTGAAAAGAGCCACTATAACATTAAAATTTGAAATCACATAAACATAAAACTCAAACATAATCATAATATTACCTTTCCTCATGAGCTCATCTCCTATAATAAACATTGCCACCCCTTGTACTCATTTTGATTTAAAGTAACTACACCTAAAAAATGTTAACAACTAACATTAAGCCGAAGCTCAGTAAGTAAAATACAATTCTAAATTACAGTAATCAAGGCAAAATGAACAAGATGCTAAATGCCAAATTCATTTAAAACATAACATAAATTCATTTCTTAATAACATGTCATTAACATATCATAACATATTATATCATAATTCATATCTTTCATTTTTATTTTCATATTCATTTTAATATTCTTAGCTTTCTCATTTCGGATATATTACAATCGTCAAAAAGTCACCGTCTAGTACCATAAAGGTACTCCTTTACCATTTTCCTTTTCCATATCTTTTATCGTTTTAACGTGCACGAGTACAGCGTCCCCAGCTAGTACCATCAGGGGGTGAGCTCCATCATTTCAGCATGCACATACAAGCATTCAATTTAATAATCATTTCATAATCATATCATCTCATTTCATTTTATTTTATATAACATATAAACTTATAATATAATGCCATGATATATAACATGAAAGTTGCTTGATCAATCATAGGATGAAATAACATAATCAAGATCTAAAATGATCATAAAATTTTCATAATCATGCTTGGACCGTCAAAACATAAAATTGGAGAGAAAACAAAAGTATTACTGAAATAAAGAATCATGTATACTTACAGAAATTTTGAAATTGATTCTCCTCGCTAATCCTTCTTCCTTCGAGGTTTCTTCAAAACAACTAAAAGAGTTAATTTCTCCTTCAAAATTATTAATAATAAATTTAAATTAATGTTCTTATCATATTCCAAATCTACCCTAAGTTCTTTCTCTCCCTCTCTCTCTCATTTTTATAATTACATACATATGAATTTAATTTGCTTAATCATTTATCAAAATTCTCCTTACTCAACATTAACCTTAATTCCTAATCATTAATATAAAGAAATCATTAACATAAATAAACATTAAATCTTAATTCCTTTTTATTAAGTGACATGAATATCATTATCATAAATCAATATTATTAACATAAACGAATGTCATTAACATAAATCTTTAATCTATTATTAACCTAAACTTTAATTGATATTAATGTAATTATTTTCGGATTTATTAATTTTAAAAATTAGGAAAATATAATTTTGTGAGAAAAACTCAATTTATACCCTTAGAAATCCTCTTAGGACCCTTAGGAACCATATTTGTAAAAGTACTTTCAAAAAGTTCAATTTTAGGGAGAATCCTTAATTTTAAATTCACAAATTTTTCTTATAAAACTTAAATTAAATTCCACAATTATTTTCCAAAAACCATTAGGAAACACTTTTGTGAAGGAATTTGAAGGAAAAACAAATTGGGAGAAAACCCTAGAATCTTTCATTCCAAATATCTTGAGAATGAGAAGGGAAAATTAGATTATAATGCATACCTTTGACTTCCCTTATCCTCTACATTTTCCTCAAATTTTCTCGTCGGAAAATCGTCGCCAAAGCCGCTCGTCGAAGCCCGTCCATGCGCCTCCTCTGCTCGGTCCGTCCCTCTCGGTTTGGCCAAAATAAATGAGAGGGGGAAGGGGCAGTTTGCTCATTTAGGGAAAAAGGAAAATACGAAAGACCACAATACCCTCACTTAAACAATCCCTTCATTAAATATGATTAGGGGTAGTTTGGGCATTTATAAACTTCTAAAAAATATCTCTTAATAGAAGCAAAATTGGATATAAGTTCTATATACCAAATTGATCAGAGTTTTACTACAATTTTATAAAATTAACCCCGTCAAAATCTGACAACCTTGAAATTTTCACTTAAAACTTGTCGCGGCGCATCGAAAAACGTGTGAGGTCTAAAACGACATTTTTCGGGTTTTACAGTAGGTCACGGGGAACCAGCCATCAAGGGACCCGAAGAACCAACACAGGAGACAAGGCAGCAGGCTCGGGAAACTAGCCAGCAAGGGAAAATCGAGAAGACAAAGGGAGGAGAAGAGGCACTAGTGGGGAAACCAAAGAGACACAAGAAGAAACCAAAGAGATAAAGGAAAAGGGGGAATAAATCTTCAATTTATGAGCTTAAGACACTCTACTAGATATTAATGAGCTGACATCTAGTCGAGGATATTAAAACTCACCAAAAATAAAACCCAACTTGTTTTGACACCCCCCCCCGCCTACATCACATTGTCATAGATTCCATTATGTGTTTGAGTTTAGTTAGAAGTCAAGATAGATTTTAAACATCACGAACATCTCAAATATAATGATTTTGCTTTCAGGGTGGAACAACATCATTGTTTTTCATAGCAAGTTTCTTATTATAAGTAATCAAAAGAGCCCTTAATGTAAACTTTCTGCATGCATGTTCATTTTAATTATGAACTGTTACCTTAGCTTATATGGTTTTCTATTATCTTTGAATTTGGAATTTCTACTGAACATTTAGATTTTGATCGTCTTACATCATTTTTAATGGATTTTACTTATCATAGGTTCTTTCTTCTAGGTTACCTGTCTTTGTACTGCCACCAGTTCCTAAAGAGCCATCAAACAATTTGATTGACTGGTTTAGTGAATCTAGCAAAATATTTTCTTCCCTTCAGGAGGTGATGCTGTCTTATCACAGAAAAAGGATACAAAGTTTGCATGATATGCGGAAAAAGGCATCTAATATCTTTTGGTGGCCATTTACTCAGCACAAATTTGTTCCAATGGAGATTGTTACCGTGATTGATTCACGTTGTGGTGAGAATTTTGCAATCCATAAGGTTGGTTATGCTTATTTGCTTGTCTTTAGTAACTATATCAGTATATGATAGCTTTGGTAGATTTTATATTAATGGTTATACTCAGAACAAGCTCAAGTCGTTTGCTGTTCTTTTTTATTTTATTTTTCAGCTGTGTAGATTTGCATGAAAATGTAGCCACATTTCTGGACTTATTTTTCTCATTCTTTCATAAAAAAGTTGTTTTATCGCTTGATTACCTTATCTTTTCTGTGTAGGTGCGGCACAACAAGGAAATGCTTGTTTCTCAGTTTGATGCATGCGCTAGCTGGTGGACTCAAGGACCTGATGCAATTCTGCAGGTAAATGAATTGAGATTTTCTTGTTGCTATTGTGGATAATGATATCAACTAGTTGCATTTATTTATCTTCTTGCATTCTAACCTCCAGCTCATTATTTCTCTTATTTTAATGATCGTTTGTGAGCTTGAGTTGAGCTGTGAAGGCATTTCAGATTTAAGTTTCTAGGAATCCAGATTAGTTTAAAGTCATATTATCTGACCTAGATCACATTACAGAGTTGCTTGGAAACCTTATCCTGAGTTGAACCTATCATGCTTTAACTGCATTCACGGCATGCATGTCCTGCAAGAACAGAACTAACTTCCTGCTTCGACTAAATGATGTTTTTTTAGAGTTACGTGAGTAAAATATGCTTTATTTGTTTCCATAGATGCTTTTGTACAAGTTAATTGGATATATATATATATATATACACACACACACACGTGCTTGTTGGTCAGTGAGTGAGAAGCCAGTAATTGTTTGTTGTTCAATACTGGTTTGACCTGTGGCATTTGCTTGAGCAGCATTTGTTTTTGAATTCTTTTATTTACAATGCATTTTATGTTAGGTGTTTTCAGACTGAACTTGCAAGAGAGATGGGTTATTCTGCAGCAAGATATGGGCATGTGATGTTTCCTGAGAATGTTTATGAACCTTCATTCCGATGTGCTGAACTTTTACTTGAAGGAGTGGGAAAAGGTTTGTTTTTTACAAATTTAATTACTGGAATACTCTCTATATATAGGGCTGTAGGTTGATTCGAAACTTTTTTTTTGGTAGTGGCTGTTAAAGATATTTTTATGCATATGATGTAATTTATATGGTGAATGTGTAGTAGTTTTGACTAACCTGACATACATTCTCCAAACTATTTATTGGCACATCATCACACACCAACGGGTCCACATCATCCTTCAACCCCTTATTCCTCAACCTCCTATCTCTTAATCTCTTGTTGTGCATAATACACACAAGGGAGTTCATTCTGAGTGTTGAAAGTTGATTTCTTCTCTTTGTTTGCACTTGACTATATGTACTCCAGTTTCGCTCACACCCAGAAGAAGAACAAGTGAGGCCCAAAACTCTAACAGCAAAACTCTGTAACTCAGGGGTGAAATCACCAAATTGTATCTACCATTCAATTATTTTCAAGAAGAAAAATGATAATCAGAACATAATAAAGTGTTTTGCATTTACAAAAATAAGTATACCTGGAGACCGTTTGGCAATAGTTGATTTTGCTGCTTGCAGACCAAAAAATCCCTCCTTATTCCGAAATAGAACAAGTTGTAAATCTGCAAGCTCCCTATCAGTCTGCTCCGGTATTAGTCATTCCATGCAATGATACAAGTCAAGCTTCACCTCCGGGTTTGACGATTTCCTCTCTGAATATTGAAATTCAGGATTGAGATAATACGCCGCTGCATGTAGATGACGGTGTACACTACAGGAAAAACGCCGATTACCGGCGGTTATATGACCGCCGGTAATACCGGCGGTTTGCTGGCGGTTTACCGGGGGTTTTGTAACGTTAAGCCGCCGGCAATAGCGACGGTCCTGTAACTGCCGGCTAAACTGCCGGATGTCAATATTACCGGCGGCGGAGACCGTCGTTGATAAGTGATGCCAATACCGGCGGTTGTGACCGCCGGTAAATGCCCTAAAATTAACAGGCCCGAGCCTCACATTTCATTTATATTCTTTCCTTCTCTCTCTTTGGAGAGCTCTGCCGTCGCCTCAGCCCGCCTCTCACTCGATCGAGCGCACTGTCTTGCTGCTGACGACCTCTCTCCGACCGCCGACGAACTCTCTCCTACCGCAGACCCCACCCCGGCCGTCTATCGCGCGATCAAGCTCTGCTATCTTGCTGCCGTCGATCTCACACCGACTGCCCTAGTTTTCGTGTGAGTTGAAGAAAAGCTGGGATTTGAAGGTAATCTTTAATATTTTTCTGTGATTATTTGTTCTTACTAGACATTTGCAAGAAATTGTAATTTATTTTATGATTTTGATAGTAATCTAGACATATGCAAGAGGTAATCTTGTAATTGTTTGAGTAGATTTAAATTTCCATTTATTAAGTATAAATTTAGTAATGATAGATCTAATGGGTTGATTGTGACTTTGTGTTAGAGCAAGATAGCAAGAGAGGGAGAGGGAGAGAGAAAAGAGAGGGACAGAGAAAAGAGAGAGAGAGAGAGAACAAGAGAGATAGATAGAGAGAGCAAGAGCGAGAGCTAGAAAGAGGGAGAGATATATAAAGAGAGAAGGAGAGCAAGCAAGTGTTAGAGAGAGCAAGAGAGAGGGAGAGTGAGAGAGAGGGAGAAAAGAGAGAGAGAGAG